CCAGGGCACGCAGGTGGCTTCAGGCTGTGAGCTGTCACTCCATCTTTCAACAACCAAGTCCCTCCTACCCCAGGGCCTTCGTTCACTAGTTCAACCCCTAGTTCACTCCTACCCCAGGGCCTTTGCACGAGCCATTCCAGCTACCTGGGTGCCCTTCCCATGGCTTTAGCAAGAGAAGAAAAACCACCCTGCCTTTTCCCCGGGGAAGTTACCACGGCTGCGAGAGAGGTGGCACGAACACACACGCTCACACCAAAGACTTGGAAATTGGACGTTTTGTTTTGCCTGATTTACTGAGTAGCTGAAGGCAGCTTTTTTTTTTGTAAACTCTGCACTGACACATTTCATTGTCTTCAATAAATGAATCGAACGGATGAGCGCAGAGTTCCCCAGCCCATGGAGGGGCTCTGAGAGAGCCCTCGGGATGGGTCAGCTCCGAGCACCCTCGGTCCCAGGCAAACCGGGACGGTTGGTCGCCCGACCTGCACGAGGGAGCGTCTTCCTCCTGGAAGAAGGATCCGCAACGTCCCGATTCCCATGGAGCTTTGTGCCCCCAACAGATTAAGGAGCAGGAAGTTTGCCTCCATCTCAACGAGAAGCAGAGAGACTGTCCACGTGATGAGATTGTTCTAGAAGCCCTCTAACGACGTCGCCGTCAGCAGGGGTGTCTTGTGAGTGAGCCCCACGGCGCTCGCTGCTCTCACTGGCAGGCAGAGCCCGCGCTGTCTCTGTCCCGGAGCGCGGGGCCCACGCCGCCGCCTGCCCTGCCAGAAGGGAGGCCCCGGGCGGCTGCTCCCCGATGGCACCGGGAGGGACACGTCCCTGGTGGTGTCACAGACCCGCCCGGCCAGGTAGGAGCATCTCTCCGCTGAGAGCTGCCACGAGGCTTCCTTTGGTGGAGCCTGGGCGACAGTGCTTTGCTCCCCGTCCCTGGAGGGTTTCTGGGTTTTCTTTTTGTTGTTGTTGTAGGCTGTGCCATAAAATTTAATAACCTCAGTTTCAACTGAGATGGCATCTTCTATGTGTGCATATATGTATAAATATACACGTATACATATATGTATAGACAGATAAAAAGACAAAACTGTAAGGAAGTCCATCAAAACGTTTTGATGATGGTTATCATTATCTCTGGATGATGGAATCACAGGCATGTTTATTTCCATCTTCATGCTTTTCTGCATTTTTCCAATTTTATACAATGGTAACCTCTTTCTTTATTTCACAGACTCTTTCAAGCTGGGGAGGGGCAAGCCAGGGACACACGGACTGATGTCTCCTTCCATCCCTCCTCTGAGTTTCCGTCTCTCCCTAGACACACCAGGTCTCACAGGCTGAGTCTTCCCCTGGGTTGTCACTTTTCCAGGCTCTTGATCTGGCTGGCAAGATATCCTGACAGTTTCCAAGGGGGGAGTCCAGACATCTCTCTCTTTCGGATCTATTTTCTCAGCCCCTTTGTAAGCCTTTCCACTGCCAGGCAACCAAAGTCCTCCTCTGCCAGGGCAACAGGCCGATAACGGCAAGCTGCCGGCGGCCGTGGGGAGGACCGGCTCCCGGTCCCAGCCGGGTCCACCTCGTGCCACAGGCCCGGCATCGCCCACCAACCACACTCGACTCCCAGAAACACGCTCTTCCTCCTCCTCTCTCTTTCCTCCCACGGCCGTCCTGTCCCCAGGCCTCTGTGACAGGCACGAGGTGTCCTCCCTTTTCTCAGGGCCGGCTGCAACGTGAACACCTGAATGTTTATTCACCGATGGCGGCACGGAGGCTGGCAACCTGTCCTGCCCCCGATGCTGTCTGGCTGTGTCACCTGGGGTGATCTGGCGTAACCCCCGGAGCCCCTCTCTCAGTAAGCGTGCGGGTCGTCACAGGGAATGTCTCTGAGCACTTCCCAAGGAGCCCGGTTGAAAGCGTTTCATGTGCATAGACACAGTGACCCTAACAGCCCTTCCGAGGCCACTGTTACCACCATTCCCCCAGTGGACGGGCAGACTGAGAGTCTGGGGGCTGCAGGTCCTGCCCCAAGTCCCTCGGCTGTAGACAGCAGGGCCAGGACTGCCACCCAGAGCAATCTGCACCCCGTCCTATATGGGGCAATAATAATGGAAGTTAAAGAGCTATTGTGAAGTTTAAATAAGATCAAGAGCTTAATGCAGGTTGGTGCTCAGTAGATGTTAATAACACAAAGACACTCTGGGAGGCCGAGGCCGGCAGATCATTTGAGCTCCGGAGTTCAAGACCAGCCTGAGCAAGAGCGAGACCCCGTCTCTACTAAAAATAGAAAGAGCCGGGTGCGGTGGCTCACGCTTATAATCCTAGCACTCTGGGAGGCCAAGGCGGGCTGATTGCTCGAGGTCAGGAGTTCAAAACCAGCCTGAGAGAGACCCCGTCTCTACTAAAAATAGAAAGAAATTAATTGACCAACTAAAATACACATATATACAAAAAATTAGCCGGGCATGGTGGGGCATACCTATAGTCCCAGCTACTCGGGAGGCTGAGGCAGGAGGATTGCTTGAGCCCAGGAGTCTGAGGTTGCTGTGAGCTGGGCTGACGCCACGACACTCACTCTAGCCCAGGCAACAGAATGAGACTCTGTCTCAAAAATAAGCAACAACCCAAAGAGCACCGCCACAATCGTCACTCTCACCATCACCATTACTGAGAATTCTCAAGGGGCTGTCCCCCCTCACCCAGTGTTCCTCAGCATGCGGTCCCAGACCAGCAGCGTCAGCATCACCTGGGGTCTGTTAGAGATGCAGATGCTCCGGCTCCAGGCCAGACCGTGTGACTCAGAGGTGCCCGGGGCAGGGCCTAGGGTCTCTCTGAGCCAGGCCCGGGGGTTCTGCGCTCACACAGCACAGCGTGAGAACTCACCCAAGCACCGGGCAAGACAGGGAGGACAGCCGAGAAAACCGAGGTCCGGGGTGGTGTGGGGGAGGGGCTTGCCCGAGTCCCACGGCTGGTACATGTCACAGCGGGGCTTTGTTCTCGGGGCCACACCCCGATGCTCCTTCCCTTGCCCGCAGCTCCCCACAGAGTGGGGGTGGGGCCTGCCAAGACATGCACTCCTGGTGAACAGGCAGGAACTGTGGGCACGACGGGGCCCTTCCAAGGTCTGGAGACAGCACTCCCAAAATAAGTCTCTTAGCCAAACAGACATTTTCCAAAAGGCATCATCATTTCCCAGAATACAGAGTGACCTAGAAACCGGGGCCAGGAAATAACCTCTGAGACGGAGGTGGCTCTCTTCCCTCCTTCGTTCAGCTACTTCTCCCTTCCTTCCTTCCTCCTTTTTTTATCTTTCTTCTCTCTTTTTCGGAAGAGCTGTTTGATCACTGACTACTGTGGTATCTTCACTTACTTATTCCTTCTACAAACACCGAACTGAGCAGTTATTGTCCGCCAAGCCCCATCACGAGCATCGTGGCTCCAAAAGCTCCGAACGCCAGTGAACACGTTAAGGAAAGGCTGCCCACGGGCTTTTACCCATGTGCCTGCTCATGTCAGTGCAGGTGACTTCAAACAAGGCAGAACAGAGTAGGGACAGGACAGTCTAAAGCCAGACACGCCTTCATCTGCGTCTGGCCTGTGCTACACGTTAGCTGCTCGGTTTGGGGCAGGTTATCCTGAGCCTTGTTTTCCACCTGTGTCAAATGCAGATAAGGATACCTAGGGATGGTGTTTCTAAAAACCTAAAACACAGGAGGTGTTGGATAAAAGGTAGCTTTATATTATCACTGAATATTCATCAAGTTCTTTCATATCTAATTTTTTTTTTTTTGCTTTATAGGTTTAGCTGCTATGTTGTTTGGCGCATACAGATTTGCTTTTCACATCTTCTTCATGAATTACACCTTTTGTGCCGTCACATAATGAATTGCTTCGCCCTAATTGGCATGTTTCACCTTACCCTACGCTTTATCAGACACTAATAGGGCCGCCCCTGCTTTGTCTGTAGACAGCTGGACTAGCCTTCCCCATCCCTTGATTTTTAAATCATTTTACAGCTGGATTTGGTTCAAACAGTCAGTGTAGTCATCGATGTGTCTAGTTTCCCTCCATCGTAAAAATTCCAACTGGATTCCATTTTAGCCGAGTAGCTTTCAAGAAGAAAAAGGATGGGGGAAAAAAAACCTTAGTCATGAGGGCTGCTTTGACTCTGCAGAGCTCGGTGACCTCACATTTACGGGAATCTGCAGCAGGCAAAGGCAGACGGTGGGGAGGGTGGGGAGAAACATAAAATGAAGATGAAGAGAAGGGGTGAGATGTCAGCTGGAGACGAGTGATGCTGATCTCATCAAGGGGTTTTGGAAGATCTGCGAGATTCTCTCGGCTAGATAATCCCAGCTCTCGGCCGCTCTGCAGAGAGGAAAAGGGCTTGGCAAGACCCCACAGGCTACTGGCGACAGAGCCGGGACCACAGCCGGGTTGCCACGGCCCTAAAGCCTGGACAACCAGAGGGAACAGACCGTGCTCTGGAGGAGTCGCCTAAGAAAAACCGGGCTAAAGCTGCCTCGCTCAAGTCAGAAGGGGAAAACGGAAGAAGAGGCTCCAGTATAATAAGAATGGTTATTAACATGTAGTAAATTAGGGAGAGTTTGTGTGTTCTTCTGTGTGCTTTTACCTAAGTGTGTGCACAGCCAAAAAGAAATGCAGCTAGGAGGGCGGACGGGTCGCTATGAATGCGTCAGGTGAGCCGGAAAGGTTGTTAACTCTCGGGGAGAAGGAAGTATGGGAAGCAGGACAGCCCTCACACGGGCACGCCTGCACCCCGCATTGGCAGGACTGGGAGGCGGGAGCACTCACGCCTCTATAAATGCGGAAACCAGGGCAATAGTTGCAGACACGAGCGGTCTGGATTTAGCTGGAGGCACTGGAATAAAATCTCAAGCCTCCAGACCTTGGAACATGGGTTTTGAGTCTTAACCGGCCGGGAGAGGCGGTCATCAGTAATGCCATGCCGGGATGAAGAAAAAAAACAAACGCCGAGTACTCACATCCGCGTAGATGTTGGTTCCGAACACGGGCGCCCAGTAGGAAGGCTCGTCTTTGCAGTGCGCCGGGCAACGGACTCTGGAAAACAGGAAGCACTTCTGTCACGGGTGGGATCGGCGGAAAACTAAGCTTCTTGCACGAGGTCCCTTTGTTTGAGTTTCAGGACTTAAGTTCTCAGTTGCAAGGGCACCACGGCACGGTTTCACTCTCTGAGAAAATCAACACCTCTCCCACCCTGGCCGTGGTCAAGATGTTTTTGCTCCTCTGAAACAAGGCCTCTAGAACAAAGTAAAACATGCATGAAAAAGACACGCACGGACAAAGAGGTGAAAAGGAATAAAAATCTTAGAGAGATGAGTGTGGAACTGTGAGCTGGTGCCGACCGCTCTTGGGCGTTGGCCGGTTCATGCCATGAGCACATTGTGGAGATCATAATCAATGGGGTTTGTTTTAAAGGCCGCTTCCCGGCATGGGGGCGGAAAGGGTGGAGGCCCTCACCTCAGTGAGTCACAAAATATTCCAAGGAGGGGCGCTGATAACACTGGCGGGAAAGGTTAGATCACAGTGTGTCAGTCACCCAGCACCCAGGGGATGAGCAGGGAGCCTGGAACTGGAAATGGGTGGGCCCTCGGTGGTTTGGGAGATTCACACCAGGGAAGAACATGCCCTTTACTCAATAAAAGGTCTATGTGTGTTCTCTGGAACAGTCCAGGGTGGGCTGGAGCCCAGGGACCAAGAAACCAAAATGGCGGCCAGAAGCCACGTGGGATCTGGCCTCGCCATTTGGGACTCTTGGAGGGAGGAAAGCCAGGGATAGAGAAGTCTAAACAGTTCCTGGGGGCCGACAGAAAGGGTGTGTATGTGTGGATTTAAAACCCAGCTAGCCCAAGGGGTAGTTAATAAGAAAGAAAAAAAAGAAAGAATTAGGAAGTCTAAGAACGTTCTTTCTGACTTCTCCTGGAACGGCAGGTCAGAAACTCACGTTTCTAGATATTGCCCTCTGTCCAGTTTTTCTTTCTGTTTGTATTTTCTGAAACTGTTTCCTTCTGCTTCTGTTTAATGTCGGGGGAACTCTACTCAACGGCTGTTACTCCCACTGGAACATTCGAGGGAATGGAGGGAGCAGAGAGAAGCCGCAGGGGAGACACCGGCCCAGGGCATTTTCCTGTTTAGCCCCGGGGTCTCCACCTGTTGTCCTTGGACCTGTTGTCCTCGGAGAATCTGCGTGTCTCCAGGCCCAGGAAAGGGCTCGGGGGCAGACAGTACATCACCCACGCCGCTTAGGCGCTGTCTTTATCCTCAGAGCTTACAAACCCAGGGAACCGAGGACTCCCGCCACATTTCTCATTTTACAACAGAGCTGAGCGGGAAAGCTTGCTCTGTGTGGAGGGCAGCTTTGCTTTACGACTGTTTGCGTGGAGGGCAGCTTTGCTTTACGACTGTTTGCGTGGAGGGCAGCTTTGCTTTACGACTGTTTGCGAGGAGGGCAGCTTTGCTTTACGACTGTTTGCGAGGAAGGCAGCTTTGCTTTACGACAACGACATACCTTCTGGACGTCTACACAGGTGGGTAGGACGTCCCAGAGACTCGGGCCTGTTCACGCTAAGGAGCCCGTTCTGCTGAGGGGCACGTTTCCTGCGTCCCCTCCCCACGAGGCTCTCCCAGGCGCTTCAGAGAGGACAGTTGCCTTGATTTTATGCTCCAAGGCATCATCTCTTCCAGGACTCAGTTAATTGAGGTTTGGGCAGATGCCGGTAGACCCTGTTCCTTGGACAGACGAACCGTGGCGTGTCCACAGAACGGAACACCGCACGGAGACATGGAAGAATACACCACGGGCCGGGCGCGGTGGCTCACGCCTATCATCCCAGCACTCTGGGAGGCCGAGGCAGGAGGATCGCTTGAGCTCAGGAGTTCGAGACCAGCCTGAGCAAGAGCAAGACCCTGTCTCTTACTAAAAATAGAAAGAAATTAGCCAAGAACTAAAAATAGAAAAAAATTAGCCGGGCATGGTGGCGCGTGCCTGTAGTCCCAGCTACTCGGGAGGCTGAGGCAGGAGGATCGCTTGAGCCCGGGAATTTGAGGTTGCTGTGAGCTAGGCTGACGCCAGGGCACTCTAGCCCGGGCGACAGAGGTGAGACTCTGTCTCAAGAGAAAGAAAGAAGAATAAACCGTGGACACGCTCAACAGCACGGATGCGTCTCCACAGCACGGCGCGGACTGACGGAAGCCAGACACAAAAATCCACGCTCGGTGGCGGCTGACCAGGCAGAACCATGGCAACAGAGAGGAGCCCCGTGGCGACGGGTGTGGGGGGACCAACACCCCCGAGGCCCTCTCTGGGGTGAGGGGACGTCCCTCGTCTTGATGGGGTGGTGGTGGCAGCTCCACCGTCATGTCTGCGTGAATACACGATCGAATTGTGTTCTTATGTAGCACGGAACGCATCGCGGACGTCAATGAACTGCGCACCATGCCCGGCTAATTTTTTCTATTTTTAGTTCTTGGGTAATTCTTTCTATTTTTAGTAAAGAGACAGGGTCTTGCTCTTGCTCAGGCTGGTCTCGAACTCCTGAGCTCAAACGATCCTCCTGCCTCGGCCTCCCAGAGTGCTAGGATACAGGAGTGAGCCACGGCGCCGGCCGTGGTGTATTCTTCCATGTCTCGTGCGGTTCCGTTCTGTGGACACGCCACGGTTCGTTTGTCCAAGGAACAGGTTCTGACCGCATCTGCCCAAACCTCAATTAACTGAGTCCTGGAAGAGATGATGCTCGGGGCATAAAATCAAGCGCAACTGTCCTCTCTGAAGCGCCTAGGAGAGCCTCGTGGGGAGGGGACGCAGGAAACGTGCCCCTCAGCAGAACGAGCTCCTTAGCGTGAACAGGCCCGATCTCTGGGACGTCCTACCCACGTGTGTAGACGTCCAGAAAGTATGTCGTTGTCGGTAAAGCAAAGCTGCCCTCCTCGCAAACAGTCGTAAAAGAAGCTGCCCTCCAGCAAAACATCGTAAAGCAAAGCTGCCCTCACTGCAAACAGTCGTAAAGCAAAGCTGCCCCTCCACGCAAAATAGTCGAAAAGCAAAGCTGCCCTCCCCGCAAACAGTCGTAAAGCAGAGTTGCCCTCCACAACAGAGCAATCTTTCCCGCTCAGCTCTGTTGTAAAATGAGAAATATGGCGGAGTCCTCGTGTTCCTGGGTTTGTAAGCTCTGAGGATAAAGACAGCCCTAAGCGGGGTGGGTGATGTCTGTCTGCCCCCGAGCCTTTCCTGGGCCTGGAGACACGCAGATTCTCCGAGGACAACAGGTCCAAGGACAACAGGTGAACCCCGGGGCTAAACAGGAAAATGCCCTGGGCCGGTGTCTCCCCTGCGGCTTCTCTCTGCTCCCTCCATTCCTCGAATGTTCCAGTGGGAGTAACAGCCTTGAGTAGAGTTCCCCCGACATTAAACAGAAGCAGAAGGAAACAGTTTCAGAAATACAAACAGAAAGAAAAACTGGACAGAGGGCAGTATCTAGAAACGTGAGTTCTGACCTGCCGTTCCAGGAGAAGTCAGAAAGAACGTTCTTAGACTTCCTAATTCTTTCTTTTTTTTCTTTCTATTAACTACCCTTGGGCTAGCTGGTTTTTAAATCCACACATACACACCCTTTCTGTCGCCCCCAGGAACTGTTTAGACTTTCTCTATCCCTGGCTTTCCTCCCTCCAAGAGTCCCAAATGGCGAGCCAGATCCCACGGTGGTTTCTGGCCGCCATTTTGGTTTCTGTGTCCCTGGGCTCCAGCCCACCCTGGACTGTTCCAGAGAACACCACAGACCTATTGATAATAGGGCATGTTCTTCCCCTAGTGTGAATCTCCCAACCACCGAGGGCCCACCCATTTCAGTTCCAGGCTCCCTGCTCATCCCTTGGGTGCTGGGTGACTGACACACTGTGATCTAACCTTTCCCGCCAGTGTTTATCAGCGCCCTCCTTGGAATATTTTGTGATCCACTGAGGTGAGGGCCTCCCACCCCTTCCGCCCCCACGCGCGGGAAGCGGCCTTTAAAACAACCCATTGATTATGATCTCCACAATGTGCTCATGGCATGAACAGCCAACGCCCAAGAGCGTCGCACCCAGCTCACAGTTCCGACACTCATCTCTCTAAGATTTTTATTCCTTTTCACTCTTTGTCCGTGCGTGTCTTTTCATGCATGTTTTACTTTGTTCTAGAGGCTTGTTTCAGAGGAGCAAAAACATCTTGACCACGGCCAGGGTGGGAGGGTGTTGATTTTCTCAGAGAGTGAAACCGTGCCGTGGTGCCTGCAACTGAGAACTTAAGTCCTGAAAACTCAAAAGGGACTTCGTGCAAGAAGCTTAGTTTTCCGCCGATCCCACCCGTGACAGAAGTGCTTCCTGTTTTCCAGAGTCCGTTGCCCGGCGCACTGCAAAACGAGCCTTCCTACTGGCGCCCGTGTTCGGAACCAACATCTACGCGGATGTGAGTACTCGGCGTTTGTTTTTTCTTCATCCCGGCATGGATTACTGATGACCCTCCTCCCGGCCGTTAGACTCCAAAACCAAGTTCCAAGGTCTGGAGGTTGAGATTTTATTCAAGTGCCTCCAGCTAAATCCAGACCGCTCGTGTCTGCAACTATTGCCCTGGTTTCCGCATTTATAGAGGCGTGAGTGCTCCGCCTCCAGTCCTGCCAATGCGGTGCAGGCTGCCCGTGTGAGGCCTGTCCTGCTTCCCATACTTCCTTCTCCCGAGGTTAACAACCTTTCCGCTCACCTGACGCATTCATAGCGACCCGTCCGCCCTCACAGCTGCATTTCTTTTGGCTGTGCACACACTAGGTAAAAGCAACAAGAAGAACACACAAACTCTCCCTATTTTACTACATGTTAATAACCATTCTTATTATACTGGAGCCTCTTCTTCCGTTTCCTTTCTGACTTGAGCGAGGCAGCTTTAGCCCGGTTTCTTAGGCGACTCCTCCAGAGCAGGTCTGTTCCCTCTGGTGTCCAGGCTTTAGGCCGGTGGCAACCCGGCTGTGTCCCGGCTCTTGTCCCGTAGCCTGTGGGGTCTTGCCAAGCCC